AATTCCAGACACAAGTTCCTTTTGGCTTGGAGTTGCAGCCTTTTTTCGGTTTCAGCAAGAGTTGCTTGATTTGTAACAAGAGTAGCCATGTCTTCTGGAGTAATATATGTTCCTTCTACACAATTCCAGACATTTTCATTTATGGAGTTGAGATGAAGATTCATACGGCCAACCCATGAATTATACTCTTCGGGAATAAGTATGGGTGCCCGTGAACCAGATCCCAAGCTGTTAGCAATAGAAACAGAGTTCATGTTGGAATAATTAGCAGAAGACATAATAAAATTTTTGTTTTTGAAAGGATTTTGAACAAGTGATATTAAAATGAAATTTTTAAAGAAAAACTTATGGAAGGTTTATAAACGCTAACCAAAAGTTTTCGACAAAAATTTCAAAGTAAATCACACAAGCTCTGAATTTTTTTGTTTAAGATTTTTTTTTTTTTTTTAATTTTTTTTAAATTTTTTAATAATTTTTTTTAAGGATTTTGAGCAAGTGATATTAAAATGAAATTTTTAAAGAAAAGCTTATGGAAGGTTTATAAACGCTAACCAAAAGTTTTCGACAAAAATTTCAAGGTAAATCACACAAGCTCTGATACCAATTGTTGAAAATATACGATCTGATTACCACAAATTAAGGCTCGGATACCAGTTACTGGGTGACAGGTGACAGATACATATATTTAAGGAGATAAGATGCGAAAAAAAAATAAGAAGTGCGGAATAAATATAAACTGGAAAGCTATAAATGACTGAAAGCTATAAATGAAATAAATGACAGTATTTAAATGACGTAAAGCTGTAATAAAATATATAAATATATAAATATATATAAAGTCCGTTCGTCAATAAATTGACTGAACTGGTTTAGAATTGGACTGGATCTTAATAGACTGTGTCTCTATTTGTTCAAAGTTCAATCCGGTAAGTAACAATAAGTTCTTTTATGTAACAATGAATTGTTTATAAAACGATACAAAATACACGGGTAATGTTTTTTGTATGTGGTTTGGGGTTTTTTAAGGTGATTTGATGAGGTTGAAGTGGGTATTTGGAGGGTGTTTGGAGAGTATTTGGAGGTTGGTTGTGTGTTTATTCTTCTGGAGATGAGTGAGTAATGGGAATTATTACAAACAAAGACTAAAACACTTACACTTCCACTCTCCCTCAAAACTCACGTATACATACATATATATATGCAAAAATGAATCAAACAACTCTTCCACTTGTGTTTGTTTATGAAAAAGAAATAGCTTGGTGGATGTAGTAGCTGGTAGAACACATGTAGGTTGGGTTCTTTTTTCTTTTGTGACAATTCTCTCAATCATACATACATATGCACGATATATATATATATAATATATATATATACATACATATATATATATATATATATATACATACATATATATATATATATATATATATACAACATACATACATATACGTACATATATATGTACATATAATAAAAGAAAACATCTTTAAACACACTTGAGTATGTATGGTGCTAGCTTGTAGCTTTTAATCAAGTGGTAGTAGTGGGAACGTGGCTTTCTTTTACTGAATGTTTATAATTCAATTAAGAAATTGAATTTTCATATTGGTCCCTTGATGTTTTGAAGTTTTGACAATTTTTATCATTTCATTTGTTTTGTCTTCAAACGATCAAATATGCGTCTATTTTTCCGTCTTTGCGTATTTCGTCTTTTGCCTATTTTTGTATTTCATAATTAAGCACGAATCCACGCAACCTGAAATAACTGATAATATTTGTTAGATAATATAAAACCAATTCGTCTTATTTCAGTGATGATCACATATAAAAACATTTTTCAACATAATGAAATTAACTTGGACATTTTACTTGCTCGAAGGAACTTCTTGATGAAGTCCAAAGCATGCGCAATCACAATATTAGCCACTTTAATCTCATCATTTGTAGCATTTTTCTTCTACGCAATTGTTTGAAGTTTACAACCATCCATATGCACACGTCACAATCAAATAATTTTTGCATAAACTTATTACAATTGACTTTCCACTTCCACTTGGAACAAAATTCATGTCTTTTGTGAATGTGTATATGTGGTAAGAATGAAACAGTACAACTTACTAGCATGTAATGTCACTTTCATATCATTCTTACACCAGAAACCTATAATGCTAGGCTCGCAACGGCTCATCCCCGTCGTCCGCATTCTCGGCACTCTACGCCTCCAACTCATTACCGTCTCCGGCATTCTCAGCATTCTGTTGTCAACATACATCTTTTCCTTTTGGTTTCGAACAGAAAGAAAAAAAGTAGTAGCTAAAGAATGAAATTAACCTAGAAGAAAAGATTTTTAACCCTAGCTAACCGTACAGACATTCTTTCATCTTTTCTTTCTTAATTAACGTGTGTGTGTGTGTGAGTATATATATATATATATATATATATATATATATACACACACACACACACACACACACTAGTGGTGTACCCGCACAAAGCGGCGGCGACAAATAGTTTCCGGGCGGTAATTAACTTATTTCGTTGAATAGTTTCCTTGTGGAAAAACTGTGAAAAAAATATAATAATGAATCATGTACATCAAATTGCCACGTATGAAAGAACCATTAACCATAACAAATAAAAAACAATAAACAGACGATCTATCCTCCTAACTACTATGCCATGAAACACAAGGTTCACGTGAATCAAATCAATCACTTGTATAGCTTTTGAAAATCATCCTTAAATTTGGCCTTCAATTGTTCCCTCTGTAACCTGACTGCACCATCAACTCATCTCCGTCTCCGGCATTCTCAACATTCTGTTCTCGACATACGACATACATTTTTTTTCTTTTGTTTTCGAACAGAAAGAAAACAAGAGCACCTAAAGAATGAAATTAACCTAGAAGAAAAGATTTTTAACCCTAGCTAACCGTACATACCAGTTATTATGTTTAACTGAACAGATCAAAAAGGACTGAAGTTGGGTATTTTGTTAACAAAATCACCATTAATGATGGCATTAGTTTCACGTGATGATCTTTTCAGCAGCTCATGGGACCAACTTTGGAGGGAGATTGTGTATTTGTTAACCAAAAAACCATTAATCGAAAATTATTGTGTTTAACCCAATGCCGACGACGGGAGATGATCTGTTCGACATCCTCTTTTTTATGCATTTGCTAATCGGACATACAAGTATTGTATTTTTTGTTAACTTTTTGTTATTTGTTGTTGATATAACACTTCTAAAAACTAGTTATATCTGATATAAATATATATTTAAGTGGTAATATAATTATAAATTAATACAAAATCGCCGCCTTACATCACGCCTTGAAAAACGCCATGACTCACCATGGCTCGTTAAGTTTGAGGCTTGGCCTTGCTGCCACGCCACGCCTCACGCCTTTTAGAACCTTGGTTCTTTCATACGTGACAATTTGATGTACAAGATTTTAAGGAATAATTAATTCTCTAAACTTTAAAAATCTGATTTTTTTCGACAATAAATATATTAATTCGTACATTCTAAAGGAATATGTTTATGATTATCTTGAAAAAAAAATATTAAATTCTGACAAAATATTATAAACATGTATTATCAAGATTAGTAATTTTTCATGAATACAAATTTCATATGAAAAGAATTTGAATATCTTTAAATCAGTAATTATATTCATTCTTAACAAAACAATTATGAACATACATAAATGACATTCATTCTAAAAGAATATAAGTAATAATGGTTAACAATTACATTTATTCTTTAAGAATAAAACTGAGAATGATTAAAAATCAAATCAAAACATTGAAATCTAAGTAAAATACTAATACATTATGATAGAATATAGTTACTAATCATTCTGATAGAAAAATGTTAATCTATTTTGAACGAATATTGTTGCCTTACTTTCCATTCTTCACCTGTCTTCAAACCGAGTTTCCATTCTTCACCAAGCTTCTTTTTCTTTACTTGATGTTATTTCTTTCAGAATTTATAGTTTCATAAGAATTTATAACCTTCTTAAACTTTGCTTCGTTGTTGTACAAAAAAAACATTACAACTTGTTTAAGCATGAAAATTTCTAGTCAGAAACATAAGAATTTTGTTGAAACATGTAATATGCAAACCAAAAATTAATAATGGTTAAGCACGAGTGAATGCCAAATTTAAGGATGATTACGAAAAGCTATACGAGTGATTGATTTGATACATGTGAACCTTTTGTTTCATGGCATAGTAATTAGGAGGATAGATCGTCTGTTTACTACTATTTTTTTTATTTGTTATGGTTAATGGTTATTTCATTCGTGACAATTTGATGTACAAGATTCATTATCAATTTTTTATTCACTGTTTTGCCACAAGGAAACTATTCAACGAAATGAGTTAATTACCGCCCGAAAACGTTTTTTCGCCGCCGCTTTGCGCAGGTACACTACTAGTGTGTATATATATATATATATATATATATATATATACACACACACACACACACATACACACACACGTTAATTAAGATAGAAAAGATTAGAGAATGTTTGTACGGTTAGCTAGGGTTAAAAATCTTTTTATTCTAGGTTAATTACATTCATTAGCTACTCTTTTTTTCTTTCTGTTCGAAACCAAAAGAAAAAAAATGTATGTCGAGAACACAATCCTGAGAATGCCGAAGACAGAGATGAGTTGGAGGCGCAAAATGCCGATGACGGGGATAAGCCGTTGCGAGCCTAGCATTATAGGTGTCTGGTGTAAGAATAATATGAAAATGACAATGCTAGTAAGTTGTACTGTTTTTGAAAATTAAAGATGTGTTTAACTTATATTTCAATAATTATGCTTAGCTTTGTATTGGGGTAGTAGTAGTGTTTAACTTTTTATGTCTTGATATAAAAGTGACAGGAAATTTAAAGTATAAGGGTTAAAGTGTAAATAGTTCTTTCTAAATTATTATTTTCACGCACAGTGTCATCAACACGGCACAAAAGCTCGATGAAATGATGCTCAGAACAATAACAGCCGCTCTGTTTCACCCCACCACCAAGTTGTACTATTTACCCCTCAAGGCTTTCCTCTCACACTCACTTCACAAACCCCAGCGGTTAATAAATCGACAAAGCTACCCTCGAGCTGATAGAACAATCTTATCCATCAACACACCTCGTTCTCTATCATCTACAGCAGTTCCCCAAATTTCTAACGAAACGACTTCTGATTTGGACAGCAGTTACTTATCTTGCTCAATGACCAATAGCAAGCACCCTTTTAAAATTACGGTTCTTCTCGGTGGTGGCATTGATAGCAATATCGCACTTCGCCTCCTCCACGCAGTCGGACACTCCTGCACCGCTTTCTACCTTAAAATCTGGTTCAAAGTGCATATGCTTTTCTTTTTATTGACATTACAATGCATATACGAATCAAATCATTCAGGTTTATGCCCACAATGTCTGGTTTCCAATATAAACTTAATTTTGTTGGTTATCTAAAAATTCAAATTGTAAGGTTTTGCAAATTTCTCATCTCTTGTCGGATGATACATCTGCTCCAATTCAAGAGTTTAACATCGATTTTTGTGCTGGATGATATGATTGAAATGAATAAAAATCTCCTCTCTTATTGGTTTCTTATTTTACTTTTACCTTTCTCTTTGTCTTTGAGCATTTTGAAGTTTGAAACCTATAATTCCTTAGCTAGTTCTGGTACTAAATTCGTTCGTAGGAAGATTTCCAAAACTTTTGGTCTGAATGTCCATGGGAAGAGGATTTGAAGTACGCAAAAACTGTTTGCAATCAGGTTACTTTCTTTACCTTCATATTATCCATCTCATTTTATCTTCAGATTTCCGTTAGTGCTTAACTGGATTTGAAGGCTCAAAAACATTTCCCTGCTTTGTTTTAACAGATTAACTTCTCGATTCTATCACTCAAATCCCTGATTATGTGATTTATTTCTTTGTTTCTTCCAAGTTTGATTAGTATTGAAGGAAATATATCAACATTTTTTTTTCAGGTTGATGTAGCACTAGAAGTTGTACACCAGACAGATGAATATTAGGATAAAGTGGTTAGTCACACCCCTCGTGATGCATTTTCTCACATTCATCATCATCAATGGAACTTAGTGCTTACAAGTTACAATGTTGCAGGTATCTTACCTTATTGATGAGTATAAATGTGGGTGTACACCTAACCCTGATGTTCTTTGCAATACAAGATTCAAATTTGGTGCGTAATCATATTGCTTGCTTTCATCTTTTATTGTTCTCATTTGTCATTAATTTCATTTTTATTTTATATCTGTAGGTGCGTTCATGGATGCCATCAGTAACATGGATTTTGAGTTTGTTTCTTTTGGACATTATGCAAAAGTTATTCACCCCCTTACAGATGAAACCAATGAGCTTTCATTTCTTCAGCAGTCCAAGGATATGGTAAAGATATGCTCTACTTATTTACATTACCAACTTCCTGATACCAATCAGTGAGGGATACATGTTAGAATTTCTGGTGAAGGATCGAATTTCTGGTGAAGGATCAGACCTACTTTCTTTCATATCTCTCACAAGCTCAGCTTAAAAGACTAGTGATTCCTCTTAGATGTATTCCAAAAGTAAGTAAGTTTGCTTTATGAAGCACAAAACAGAATTCATGAATTTACTATTTAAACAATCAAATTATCAAGAAGAATTCTGAAGGTTGCCCGGAAATTTGAGTTGCCTAACCAAGAAAGAAGGGATTCATAGGGAATATGATTTCTTGGGAGGGTATGTTTATGTTATGATTGTTAACAAAAATCCCAACTTTGGATATATATATATATATATATATATATATATATATATATATATATATATATATATATATATATATATATATAAAGTGGACATTTATGTAAGTATTATACAGATTAGGTTCAGTGAATTTGTTGGAAGACATATTGGTGAAAAAGAAGGTATATTATTAGATGCTGAAACATGTGATTTTTTAGGAGTCCACAGGGCTTCTGGTTTTACACAATTGGTCAACGCCAAGGTTTGGGTCTTACAGGAGGACCATGGTAAACCTTTTATTATTATTATTATTATTATTATTATTATTATTATTATTATTATTATTATTATTATTATGTAAAAATATTTAAAGATTTATTTATTTATAAAAAAAACACATGTCATGTTTCCATGCAGGTATGTTGTTGAGAAAGATGTAAAAAAAATATGGTTTTTGTATCAAGAAACTATTATTCTGTTGATAAAAGAAGGCGATCATTTCGTGTTGGATCGTTTAGATGGATCAGCGGATATCCTCCTCACAACTTAAACCACTTAAGATGCAAGGTAAACATAAGCATTACATGACTTCAATTTTTCACTTAATAACATACATAATATGCATTTGCACGTGTTTTCGACAGGTTCGGCATGGCCCGGTTTTCTATGATTGTAGTTTGCATATAGAAGAAAAAGATGTTATTGGCACCGTCCAATGAAGGTGATCAGGGTCGCAGCTGGCCATTTGCGGCTTTTTATCAACAAGAGGTTTGTGTGGGGTCACGGGTAATTTTGGAATCATGGGATGATGCTAAGGGGTTTCTTGCTATGTTTCTGACAAGGCTTGCCATATTGCAAAAATGGAAGATAAATCTATGCTTGGTAAACCTATGCAGATCAAACCAAAACCTCAAGATTGTTTGAGGGATTTGATATGGTTGTGAGATTAGTTTAGGTCTTATAAATTCTATGTTAAATTAATTTAGAAAAGTGCAACATTTTTATTAGATGATTGATACATCTTCAAGGCAGTGGTTTTCTTGTATATGGTATAAGGAGTATATGTATTTGTTAATCCGTAACCATATAATGTTTGGTGAAGATGAATAGATAATAAGGAAAAACATTCCATATGGTTGAGGGATTCGTAACAAGATTGTTTGAGGGATTCGATATGGTTGTGAGATTAGTTTATGTCTTATAAATTCTATGTTAAATTAATTTAGAAAAGTGCAAAATTTTTATTAGATGATTGATACATCTTCAAGGCAGTGTTTTCTTGTATATGGTATAAGGAGTATATGTATTTGTTAATCAGTAACCATATAATGTTTGGTGAAGATGAATAGATAATAAGGAAAAACATTCCACCTGTAATAGTTTGACTAGATATTTATCTTCAAATATAGTTATTTAATATTACACAAAACTTGAGTATCATCTAATTGTTATAAACTAACAACCTTAGTCTGGATTGAGTAAACAATACTTTTCACATAGTTTGATTAAAACAATAATTAAAAAAAATTAAAAAAAATTAAACTATAAGTCCGAAGCAGGAGGTTTCTAATTGGAAGGGAAGAAGCTGTCAGAAAGCCCTTGTTGCTATTCTTTTTTTTTCTGCCCAACCAATAATCGACTCCCATTTTCATCTACCATTGTAAGGCTCTGACAAAAACACCATTAATAATGAATTGATGATGTTACTTCTTTTACTAAAATGATTATAATGAAATTAACTTGGATATTTTACTTGCTCGAGGCAACTTCTTGATGAAGTGTAAAGCATGCGTAATCACAATGCTAGGCACTTCAATCTCCTCATGTGTAGCATTTTCTTCTACGCAATTGTTTGAAGTTTACAACCATCTATATGCAGGCGTCACAATCAAATAATCTTTGCATAAACTTATTACAGTTGACATTACACTTCCACTTGGAACAAAATTCATGTCTTTTGTGAGTGTGTATGTGTGGTAAGAATGAAACAGTAGAACTTACTAGCATGTAATGTCACTTTCATATCATTCTTACATAAGACACCTGTAATGCTAGGCTCGCAATGGCTAATCCCCGTCGTCGACATTCTCGGCATTCTGCGCCTCCAACTCATCTCTGTCTCCGGCATTCTTAGCATTCAGTTCTCGACATACATTTCTTTTCTTTTGGTTTCGAACAGAAAGAAAGCGAGAGCAGCTAAGGAATGAAATTAACCTAGAAGAAAATATTTTTAACCCTAGCTAATTATACAAACAGGTTATTGTGTATCATTAGTAGTCCGTGCACAACAGGTTCTTGATCAATGGGCCAAAAGTGGTGGCATAAGTTACAACGATTATGCTGAGCTTTGTGCTAAAAAAGAGGCTGTCTCCGAGGTCCACCAATCTCTAGGAATGGCAATTCTCGACACGACCCGCCACACGACACGAAATAAATGGGTTTGGGTTGAGTTTTTCAACCCGCCAACCCGCTAACCCGCCAACCCGTTTATTAAACGGGTCATATATGGGTTTCTCAAAAAATAAACGGGTTGACCTGCCAACCCGTTTATATTCTCAATAAAAAAATTATTTTATTTTTAAATGTATTTATATATCAAGTATTAATATTTAATAAGTATTATATAATATATACCATTGATTCATAGACCATTTGACTATTTTGACATTTTGACTCGTGGTGGATGGTCTAAGGTCGTAAGCCGTAACCTCTAAGGCTAAGTCTGTAACATGTTTCTATAAATGTTTTTAATTTTCATTTGGATGTTTAAGACTTAAATGTCTAAAATTTGGACCCACGAACCCGCCAACCTGTGAACCCATATAAATAAATGGGTTGGCGGGTCATATATGGGTTTATGTTCCAAACCCGACAACCCGTGACCTGTATATTTAAATGGGTCGTGTTTGGGTTGGCATATTTTGAGCCGCCAACCCGTGACACGCCAACCCGAACACGACACGATTGCCAGGCCTACCAATCTCTCTCTAAAGTTGGTTTTAACTTATATATCAATGAGGGTTTTTATGTCTTTGTTCATCACATCCTACCACCTTTTTCTTATGAATTGTGTTTTGTAGTTAGGAAAAGAGGAAAAGTTAGACAAGTTTGAGCTTCCTGCAAAGATAAAGCTGCTGCCAGGTCAAGACACCTGAATCTGTATTAGTGACAGCCGCACTCAAGTTAAAGAAGGAACAATTGAAGGCCAAATTTAAGGATGATATGCAAAACTATACGAGTGATTGATTTGATGCACATGAACCTTTTCTTTCATGGCATAGTAGTTAGGAGGATAGATCGTTTGTTTATTGTTTTTTATTTGTTATGTTTATTGTTTTTTATTTGTTATGCCTGTATGGTTAGCTAGGGTTAAAAATCATTTCTTCTAGGTTAATTTCATTCTTTAGCTGCTCTTGTTTTCTTTTTGTTCGAAACCAAAAGAAAAAAATGTATGTCAAGAACAGAATGTTGAGAATGCCGGAGACGGAGATGAGTTTGAGGCACAGAATGCCAAGAATGCCGACGACGGGGATGAGCTGTTCGAGCCTAGCATTATAGGTGTCTGGTGTAAGAATGATATGAAAATGACATTACATGCTAGTAAGTTGTATTGTTTTTGCAAATTAAAGAGGTGTTTAACTTATATTTCAATGATTATGCTGAGCTTTCTATTGGGATAGTAGTAGTGTTTAACTGTTTATGTCTTGATGTTAAAGTGACAGGAAATTTAAAGTATAGGGGTGAAAGTGTAAATAGTTCATTCTAAATTATAATTTTCACGCACAGTGTCATCAACACGACGCAAAAGCTCGATGAAATGATGCTCAGAACAACAATGGCCGCTCTGTTTCACCCCACCACTAAGTTGTACTCTTTACCCCTCAAGGCTATCATCTCACACTCGCTTCACAAACCCCAGGGGTTAATAATTCGACAAAGCTACCATCAAGCTAATAGAACAATCTTATCCATTAACACACGTTGTTCTCTATCATCTACAGCAGTTCCCTAAATTTCGAACGACATGACTTCTGATTTGGATAGCAGTTACTTGTCTTGCTCAATGACCAATAGCAAGCGCCCTCTCAAAATTACGGTTCTTCTCGGTGGTGGCGTTGATAGCTGTGTTGCAATTCGCCTCCTCCACACATCTGGACACTCCTGCACCGCTTTCTACCTTAAAATCTGGTTCAAAATACATACGCTTTTCTTTTGATTGACATTACATTGCATATACAAATAAAATCATTCAGGTTTATGCCCACAATGTCTGGTTTCGAACATAAACTTAATTTTGTTGGTTATCTAAAAATTCAAATTGTAAGTTTTTGCAAGTTTGCTCTTCTCTTGTCGGATGATACATCTGCTCCAATTCAAGAATTTAACATCGATTTTTGTGTTGGATGATATGAGTGAAATGAACAAAAATCTCCTCTCTTATTGGTTTCTTATTTTACTTTTACCTTTCTCTTTGTCTTTGAGCATTTTGAAGTTTGAAACCTATAATTCCTTAGCTAGTTCTGGTACTGAATTCGTTCGTAGGAAGATTTCCAGAACTTTTGGTCTGAATGTCCATGGGAAGAGGATTTGAAGTACGCAAAAGCTGTTTGCAATCAGGTTGCTTTCTTCACCTTCATATTATCCATCTCATTTTATCTTCAGATTTCCGTTAGTGCTTAACTGGAATTGAAGGCTCAAAAACACTTTTCCGCTTTGTTTTAACAAATTAACTTCTCGATTCTATCACTCAAATCCCTTATTATGTGATTTTTTTTCTTTGTTTCTTCCAAGTTTGATTAGTATTGAAGGAAATATATCAACATTTGTGTTTTTTCAGGTTGATGTAGCACTGGAAGTTGTACATCTGACAGATGAATATTGGGACAAAGTGGTTAGTCTTACCCCTCTTGATGCATTTTCTCACATTCATCATCATCAATGGAACTTATTGCTTACAAGTTACAATGTTGCAGGTTTCTTACCTTATTGATGAGTATAAATGTGGGCGTACACCTAACCCTGATGTTCTTTGCAATACAAGAATCAAATTTGGTGCGTAATAATATTGCGTGCTTTCATCTTTTATTGTTCTCATTTGTCATTAATTTTATTTTTATATTATATTTATAGGTGCGTTCATGGATGCCCTCAGTAACATGGGTTTTGAGTTTGTTGCTTCCGGACATTATGCAAAAGTTATTCACCCCCTTACAGATGAAACCAATGAGCTTTCATTTCTTCAGTTGTCAAAGGATATGGTAAAGATATGCTCTACTTATTTTCATTACCAACTTCCTGATACCTGTCAGTGAGGGATACATGTTAGAATTTTAGGTGAAGGATGAGACCTACTTTCTTTCATATATCTCTCAAGCTCAGCTTAAATGACTAGTGCTTCCTCTTGGATGTATTCCAAAAGTAAGTAAGTTTGCTTTATGAAACACAAAACAGAATTCATGAATTTACTATTTAAACCAATCAAATTATCTGGATGAAGTCCGAAGGCTTGCCCGAAAATTTGATTTTCTTAACAAAGAAAGAAGGGATTCACAGGGAATATGCTTTCTTGGGAAGGTATGTTTATGTTATGTTTGTTAACAAAAATCCCAACTTTGGAGATGATATATATATATATATATATATATATATATATATATATATATATATATATATATATATATATATATATATATATATATATATATATTAAGTGGAATTTATGTAAGTATTATACTGATTTGGTTCAGTGAATTCGTTGGAAAACATATTGGTGAAAAAGAAGGTATATTATTAGATGCTGAAAGAGGGGATTTTTTAAGAGTCCACAGAAGTCTGGTTTTACACAATTGGTCAACACCAAGGTTTGGGTCTTGCAGGAGGACCATGGTAAACCTTTCATTATTATTATTATTATTATTATTATTATTATTATTATTATTATTATTATTATTATTATGTAAAAATCTTTAAAGATTTATTTATTTATAAAAAAAATACATGTCATGTTTCCATGCAGGTATGTTGTTTAAAAAGATGTAAAAAAATAATACGATTTTTGTATCAAGAAACTATTATTCTGTTGATAAAAGAAGGCGATCATTTCGTGTTGGATCCTTTAGATGGATCAGCGGATATCCTCCTCACAACTTAAACCGCTTAAGATGCAAGGTAAACATAAACATTACATGACTTTAATTTTTAACTTAATAACAAACAAAATATACATTTACACGTGTTTTTGACAGGTTCGGCATGGCCTGGTTTTCTATGATTACAGTTTGTATATAAAAGAAAAAGATGGTATTGGCACCATCCAATTACCTGAAGGTGACGAGGGTCTTGCAGCTGGCCCATTTGCAGCTTTTTAATAACAAGAGCTTTGTGTCGGTTCATGGGTAATTTTGCAATCATGGGATGATGCTAAGGGGTTTCATGTTTCTGTGTTTCTGTTTTTGACAAGGCTCGTCATATTGCAAAAATAGAAGATAAATCTAAGCTTGGTAAACCCATGCAGATTAAACCAAAACCTCAAGATTGTTTGAGGGATTCGATATGGTTGTGAGATTAGTTTAGGTCTTATAAATTCTATGTTAAATTAATTTACAAAAGGGCAACCTTTTTAATAGATGATTGATACATCTTCAAGGCAGTGGTTTTCTTGTATATGGTATAAGGAGTATATGTATTTGTTAATCAGTAACCATATAATGTTTGGTGAAGATGAATAGATAAAAAGGAAAAACATTCCACCTGTAATAGTTTGACTAGATATTTATGTTCAAATATATTTATTTAATATTACAGAAAACTTGAGTATCATTTAATTGTTATAAACTAACAACCTTAGTCTGGATTGAGTAAACAATACTTTTCACATAGTTTAATTAAAACAATAATTAAAAAAAATTAAAAAAATTAAACTACTTGTCCAAAACAGGAGGTTTCTAATTGGATGGGAAGAAGCTGTCAGAAAGCCCTTGTTGCTATTCTTTTTTTTTTCTGCCCAACCAATAATCGACTCCCATTTTCATCTACCATTGTAAGCCTCTGACAAAAACACCATTAATGATGAATTGATGATATTACTGCTTTTACTAAAATGATTATAATGAAATTAACTTGGACATTTTACTTGCTCGAGGCAACTTCTTGATGAACTCTAAAGCATGCGAAATCACAATGTTAGCCACTTCAATCTCCTCATTTGTAGCCTTTTCTTCTACGCAATTATTTGAAGTTTACAACCATCTATATGTAGACGTCACAATCAAATAAACTTTACATAAACTTACTACAGTTGACATTCCACTTCCACTTGGAACAAAATTCATGTCTTTTGTGAGTGTGTATGTGTGGTAAGAATGAAACAGTACAACTTACTAGCATGTAATGTCACTTTCATATCATTCTTACACCAGACACCTATAATTCTAGGATCGCAACGGCTCATCCCTGTCGTCGGCATTCTCGGCATTCTGCCGTTCCAACTCATCTCCGTCTCCGGCGTTCTCAACATTCTGTTCTCGACATACATTTCTTTTCTTTTGGTTTCGAACAGAAAGAAAGCAATAGTTATTGTGTATCATTAGTAGTCCCTACACACCAGGTTCTTGATCAATGGGCCAAAAGTGGTGGCATTAGTTACAACGATTATGTTGAGCTTTGTGCTAAAAAAGAGGCTATCTCCAAGGTCCACCAATCTCTCTCCAAAGTTGATTTTAACTTATATATCAATGAGGGTTTTTATGTCTTTGTTCATCACATCCTCCCACCTTTTTCTTCTGAATTGTGTTTTCTTGGTAGGAAAAGAGGAAAAGTTAGACAAGTTTGAGCTTCATGCAAAGATAAAGCTGCTGCCAGATCAATGGACACTTGAATCTGGATTATTGACAGCCGCACTCAAGTTAAAGAGGGAACAATTGAAGGCCAAATTTAAGGATCATATGCAACAGCTATATGAGTGATTGATTTGATGCACGTGAACCTTTTGTTTAATGGCATAGTAGTTAGGAGGATAGATCATCTGTTTATTGTTTTTTATTTGTTATGCTTAATGGTTCTTTTATACGTGACAATTTGATGTACAACATTCATTATTAAATTTTTATTCACTGTTTTGCCAGAAGGAAACTATTCAACGAAATGAGTTAATTACCTCCCGGAAACTATTTGTAGTCGCCGCTTTGCGCGGGTACACCACTAGTGTATATATATATACACACACACACGCACACGTTAATTAAGAAAGAAAAGATGAGAGAATGCCTGTACGGTTAGCTAGGGTTAAAAATCATTTCTTCTAGGTTAATTTCATTCTTTAGCTCCTCTTGTGTTCTTTTTGTTCAAATCCAAATGAAAAAAATGTATGTCGAGAACAGAATGCTAAGAATGCCGGAGACGGAGATAAGTTGGAGGCGTAGAATGCCGAGAATGCCAACGACAGGGATGAACCGTTGCGAGCCTAGCATTATAGGTGTATGGTGTAAGAATGATATGAAAATGACATTACATGATAGTAAGTTGTATTGTTTTTGCAAATTAAAGAGGTGTTTAACTTATATTTCAATGATTATGCTGAGCTTTCTATTGGGATAGTAGTAGTGTTTAACTGTTTATGTCTTGATGTAAAAGTGACAGGAAATTTAAAGTATAGGGGTGAAAGTCTAAATAGTTCATTCTAAATTATTATTTTCACGCACAGTGTCATCAACACGACGCAAAATCTCGATGAAATGATGCTCAGAACAACAATGGCCGCTCTGTTTCGCCCCACCACTAAGCTGTACTCTTTACCCCTCAAGGATTTCGTCTCACACTCGCTTCACAAACCCCAGGGGTTAATAATTCGACAAAGCTACCCTCGAGCTGATAGAACAATCTTATCCATCAACACACTTCGTTCTCTATCATCTACAGTAGTTCCCTAAATTTCGAACGACACAACTTCTGATTTGGGCAGCAGTTACTTGTCTTGCTCAATGACCAATAGCAAGCGCCCTCTCAAAATTACGGTTCTTCTCAATGGTGACGTTGATAGCACTGTCGTACTTCGCCTCCTCCACGTATCCGGACACTCCTGCTCCGCTTTCTACCTTAAAATATGGTTCAAAGTGCGTACGCTTTTCTTTTGATTGACATTACATTGCATATACAAATAAAATTCAAATTGTAAACTTAATTTTGTTGGTTATCTAAAAATTCAAATTGTAAGTTTTTTTAAATTTGCTCATCTCTTGTCGGATGATACATTTGCTCTAATTCAAAAATTTAACATCGAGTTTTATGTTGGATGATATGATTGAAATGAACAAAAATCTCCTCTCTTATTGGTTTCTTATTTTACCTTTACCTTTCTCCTTGTCTTTGAGCATTTTAAAGTTTGAAACCTATAATTCCTTAGCTAGTTCTGGTACTAAATTTGTTCATAGGAAGATTTCCCGAACTTTTGGTCTGAATGTCAATGGGAAGAGGATTTGAAGTACACAAAAGTTGTTTGCAATCAGGTTGCTTTCTTCACCTTCATATTATCCATCTTATTTTGTCACATCCCGGCCGTCGGCGGAAACGGTCAGCATTTTAAAGTTTGAAACCTATAATAGTAACGTGTATACAATACTTAGCATGCGTTTTCCCCCAAAAATATTAGAAATTGGGGCCGTGAAACTCACCCTGGAAGCGTGATTTTATGTAATCTAAGCAGAAACGGTCAGCGTATGAGGTCGTCGGGGCTCGGGATGCAAGTTGGCTTCAGCAAAGGAGAGAGGAGAAAGGGAAATAGTGTAAGGAATAGCTGAAGTCAGACCTGCTATTTATAGTAAGGATTTTGGACTCTCACGTCGTGAGTTTTATAAGGCTCATGTCGTGAGTCATGCACGCTCATCCCGTAGACTTGCCATTTGTGTCCCTAGCTTCGGAAGGTATCCCTTTGACTCCTCACGACGTGAATCAATCCTTGCTCACGTTGTGAGTTTGGATCTTATCCCCTCGTAGCCTTGTCACACCTTCTAGATTCCGAGATGTGGCAAAATGACTCATCACGTCGTGAGTTTTGTGCTCACGTCGTGAGTTCAGTCAGATTAGGGTTTCTGACAGCTGAATCTTCGGAAGGTCGTAACTTTCACATACGAACTCCGTTTTTGAAGTTCTTTATATGCACGTGTAGGTATTTACAAGTACTACAACTCTCTTTTAGACTCCAATAGCTAATTCTAAGTCTATTTTAAATTCCTTTTATTATAGTGATCGGTTTATCATAACTTCTTCATGCGAAGTCAGATTCAGACGTTCTCTATATTTTTGGAATCGTATGGACGTATACTTTGAGTTATATCATAAAGAAAGTTTATATTTGTATTAGAATTTATCAGGAACTACATAGCACATTTATCACATTACTAGTTTAACAACATCACATTACATAATTGGCATAATCACATGTGATTGTCTATTGACCTATTTTGACTGGTGTTACATGCTCCCTCCGTTAGAATAATTTCGTCCCGAAATTTATCTTATGGATGAGGTTTTGTCAAATAGCTAAGGGTATTTTTCTTTCATCTGATCTTCATGTTCCCAAGTAAATTCAGGTCCTCGTAAAGAGTTCCATCGAACTTTCACTATGGGAATACGACTTTGCTTTAATCGTTTGACTTCTCGATCCATGATCTCGACAGGTTCTTCTACAAAGTTTAGTTTTGTATTGACTTGTATCTCTTCGAGAGGTATAACAGGTGTGTCATCGGATAGACATCTTTTGAGATTTGATACGTGAAAAACATCGTGTACATTACTTAACTCTTGAGGCAACTTGAGTTGGTATGCGACATAACCAATTCTTGCTAGAATTTCAAAAGGTCCTATATACCGTGGATTTGATTTGCCTCGTTTCCCGAATCGAATTACGCCTTTCCAAGGATAGACCTTCAGCATTACTTTATCTTCAACTTGGAATTCTAAAGGTTTACGTCTTATGTCAGCATAGCTCTTTTGACAATCACGTGCAGCCTTTAATCGATCCTTAATTTGCAGGATCTTTTCAGTTGTCTCGTGGATTATTTCTGGTCCGGTACGTAAGGTATCGCCTGTACGTTCTCTGGCGATCTGCGTATCTCCAACCTCTGCCCACCATACTGGGGAACGACATTTTCGCCCATAAAGAGCCTCAAATGGTGCAGCCTTGATGCTGGTGTGATGACTATTGTTGTAGGAAAACTCAATTAACGGTAAATGAGTATCCCAAGCATTTCCAAAGTCTATTACACAGGCTCGGAGCATATCTTCTAAAGTCTGAATGGTTCTCTCACTCTGACCATCAGTCTATGGATGGTAAGCTGTACTCATATCTAGACGTGTTCCTAAGGATTTTTGTAGAGATTGTCAAAATCGTGAAGTGAATCTACTATCTCGGTCAGAAATAATAGAATTTGGAACTCCATGCAATCTGACAATTTCCTTAAGATAAACTCTAATCAGCTTCTCCATCTTGTCGTTCTCCTTAATTGGTAAGAAATGGGCGGACTTAGTCAATCTATCGACTATTACCCAAATAGTGTCGAACCCACTAGGAGTTTTAGGTAACTTAGTGATGAAGTCCATTGATATCTGCTCCCATTTCCATTCAGGTATTTCCGGTTGTTGAAGTAAACCTGAAGGCTTTTGATGTTCTGCCTTTACTCTAGAACAAGTCAAGCATTTGCTCACATAAGTAGCAATTTCTGCCTTCATGTTTGGCCACCAATAATGTACTTTTAAATCTAAGTACATTTTGTCAGAGCCTGGATGTACGGAATATCTGGACTTGTGGACTTCTTCTAAGACCAAGTCCCCAACTCCACCGAACTTAGGCGTCCAAATTCGGTTCATAAAGTGTCGCGTTCCGTCATCTTTTTGTATAAGTTGCTTTTCCATTCCTCGCAAAGCTTCATTCTTGATGTTTTCTTCTTTTAGAGCCTCAAGTTGAGCTTCTCTAATTTGTGCGGTAAAGTTAGAATGGATAGTTAAAGTTAATGCTCGTACCCGACGGGGTTTAATATATTCTTTCCGGATCAAGGCATCTGCTACCACGTTTGCCTTTTCGGGATGATAATGAATATCACATTCGTAATCATTCAACAATTCAACCCATCTTCATTGTCTCATATTAAGATCTTTTTGGTTGAAGATGTGCTGGAGACTCTTGTGGTCGGTAAAAATAGTACACTTAGTACCGTATAAGTAATGTCTCAAGATTTTTAGTGCAAAAACTACAGGTCCCAATTCAAGATCATGGGTAGTGTAATTATTCTCATGCACCTTAAGTTGTCGTGATGCGTAGGCGATAACTTTTCCTCTTTGCATCAACACATATCCCAATCCTTGATTTGATACGTCGCAGTATACGAAGAAATCTTCTGTCCCATCTGGAAGGGATAAGATTGGTGCACTAGACAACATTTGCTTCAGTTTCTGAAAAGCAGGTTCTTGTTTGTCTTCCCAGTTGAACTTCGTATCCTTCTGGGTTAGTGTTGTAAGCGGCTTGGCTATTTTGGAGAAATTCTCTATGAATCTACGGTAATAGCCAGCAAGTCCTAGGAATTGACGCACCTCTGTTGGCGTCTTTGGTGCTTCCCAATTCCTGATTGCTTCAACTTTAGATGGGTCAACATGAATTCCTTCGTTGCTAACTACATGGCCTAAAAATTGTACTTCTCTAATCCAAAACTCACATTTGGAGAATTTGGCATACAACTTTTCTTTTCTTAGTAGTTCCAAGATTATTTGCAGGTGTTGACCATGTTCTTCCTTGGTTCGTGAATATATCAATATATCATCGATAAATACGATCATGAATTTATCCAAGTATGGTTTGCAAACACGATTCATGAGGTCCATAAACACTGCTGGGGCATTGGTCAATCCAAAAGACATAACTAAGAACTCATAATGACCATAACGAGTTCTAAATGTTGTTTTTGGAATGTCGTCT